ACGCATCCCAGACTAAATGGCTTAATGGTGTAAACTAAGAAATATTTTGTCTGCTGCTGGATTTAGTATTTTTCAGTTAATCATTAAGACAAGAAAAGATTGAAAATTTAAATAAATTCCGGACCATGTCTTCAACCTGAAATTATTTTATGTTGAGTTAGAGACACAGAAAAGAAATTACAAAATCTCCCACAGAAGGTAGCGACGAAGAATGAGAAGAAGGGACAAAACATAAACTCCAAGAAGACGGAGTGTAAGGTCGTCAGTGAGAGGATGAGACCGAAATGCGATTTGATGGTTTGGAACACTAGAATCAATCTGACGCAGAAGTATAAATATTTGGGAATCTTCTTGACAAAGGATAGTAAGTGCGACACTGAGATCCGTAGGCGTATTGGGATGGCCAAGGACACATTCCAAAAGCTGGGCAGAGTACTGCGAGACAGGAGCATTTCTTTGGTAACAAAGAAAAAAAAACTAATCTGTGACGTGACATCTGTTCTTTACGGCAGCGAATGTTGGACGATTTCCTCGAAGACGAAGAAAAGACACGAGGAACGAAGACCTGGAGAAACTGATACTCACGGGTCGAACAGAGGAAAAGAGAGACAAGGGAAAACAATTCTTGAAATAGCTGGCGGACTTAAGCATGTGGATGGCAGAACGTAGTCTGGGGGAGGTAACACAGGGAAAGTACTTGTTGAGAGTAGCAAGGGATAGAGGCAGTTGGGGATACATGATCGCCAAACGTCCTGAAAGGAGATGGCATATAAAAAGAAAAAAGAAAGGTAGTGGATTTTACCGTGTAGCGAGAGTACTTGGAAGAAAGATTATCCCATTGTGGGAATTGTTATATCCATGATATAACAACACTGATATTTCACAGACCTAACGGAATGGCTGTATGAAAAAAGGATGACAAACACAGTAAAAGCCTTTGTAAGAAATGAGAATCTTACTTGGAATTACAGCAGTTCCTTACGAAATTGGTTGAGCCATGTTTTTTTTCTGTAAGAACTAATGATGTGGGCTAGAGACGTCTTTTCTCAAAAAGCTCTACAACGGAAGTGTCTTTCATCATTCTATCTCCTGACGTCATGTTCCGGTCGTTACGTGACACGCATGACTATCATAACGAAAGGGAGAGTTTCGCCTTTTGTAGTACAATGACATGTCACCCTTTTTGTACTCTACAAATAATCTACTGCTCATTATTATTATTATTATTATTATTAATATTATTTAATACACTCTTTTATATACTCTCTTTTATACTCTCTTTTATATATTTTAAATATTTATTGAATATTATTTAATACTCTCTTTTATATACTCTCTGTCTTTTAAATATTTCGAGAGGGTAATGATGGTCAAGTTTCGGCCACTAAAGTTTAGCTTAGAAATAAGTCATTCTCAGCAGCACATGAGCTGTTCCAACCAGCACTCCCCCCCACACACACACAGATTCCAAATGATGTTAGGTTTCGCCAATGCGTTTGTATGGATTAAAGTCCAGAATACGTTAACCACAAAAGTGACAAGGTCAGTTGGTTCTTCGTACATTCCTCCACTTTGACCTTTGAGATCTTGTTACCACTTTATTGTCGAATACTGGCCTTCACAAATGTCTGATCCCAAGGTACCTCAACGGTTATCAAAATCCATTCATGACTGCTGTTGTGCACAAGTGTTTTATCAATACGATTACTCTTCAAAATATTATTATTATTATTTCCTTTGAATTTTGTTGTATACCGGATCCTAAGTTCAGAAATATCTTCATGACATTTTCCATTTATTATTTTTATAAAAATCAAAACGAAACAGAAAAAATACAAAGATGAATTTACATAGATAAACCTCTTCGTAATCAGTAAGCTATACTTGTGGGTACAATTTTTTTATATCTTTAAGGCATAGATTACCAAGAATCCCTACCATGTGTCTATCGGAACCTTTTTCAATCAATGCGAGTACTCCTACTACAACTGAAATCGTGTACCTTATTTTGGAGATGTCAACATCAAGATCCTTGTATTTTGATAGTTATTTTTAAAGATCTTCAGACACATTACAAATTGAAGGTTACCTGCTCATAATCATACGGAACTAAAACATCAATTATAGTTGAGTGATTAAATATCTCAGCAGACTTGAAACCGACGTTTTCTAAAATGTGTCTTTGATAATTTACAGGTTTTTATTTATTTTGTGTAATAATGGTTATTCTATGAATAAATGATTTATTTCAACAAACAAGAAATATTCCATGATATTTCCAATTAATTCTTATTTGCAATGAGACAATTGATATTACCTTTATTGTAATTATAAAATGTTTCAACCGTTATGCTCTCCAGATTTCTCCAGGTGCTTTTCGATTGTGATAATAACACCAAAGATGAGTACAATACTTCGAATCTAAATAATGTTAATTACAATGATTCCTGATCTCTGACATTCTCAGAGAATTGTCAATTAAATATGTCTGTTCTCTCATTTATCTTCTGGAATAATCTACCAGTGATGAAAACATCCATCACAGAATTTGACCGCATAGAACGGTCAAAATTTAAAAAGCAATACTTACCAACCCCGAAAACAAACGCACTAATTGTTATTCATGAACTTGAAAAATTGCTTTATTGATCAGGATATTTCATACCAATATTTTCTATTGTATACAGAGTGAAATTTTATTTTTAGCTAAAATTTGAATTGGAACTTCTTCGCTCTGAGGAACAATAAGCGAACAGCTTGTTATTTGATAAGCAGTTTGACATCTCCTAGATTTTCAAAGGTATTATCTCAGTTATTTCAATACAATGAACTTTTTATTGTACAGATTTCTTCAGGACTATGTTAAAAGTTCAGTCCTGAGGAGTCGTTGAGTGATTATTATTATTATTCTCATTATTATTATTATTCACGACGTCGGCGATCATGTCTCTCCACTATTCCTTTGTCTTGTAGCTTTTATTAAATATTGTATTAACTTTTGTATTTCACCTTCGAGAGAATATTTTCTACATTTAAATTACAAAACACTCACAATTTATCAAAATCGCTCTCTTGTTTTTACGGCTTATCAACTCTTTGTAGGTTGTTTAACGCAAGAATATATTGTTAGATTGTAAAAATATTTTACAGTTAGTAATCATTTCCTCATATAATTTCACCGAATGACTTCATGGTTGGGGAGGGAAAAGGGGAGGATTTATATCTTTATCAAGGATATTTGTGCGTCAATGAATATAAGAATACAAGAAGTGGAACTAAACTCTACGATATTCAATTATGATTGGTTATCATTTACACAAGGTTCCTGTTAATCCTAAGCTGTCACACATCTAGTTCCTGTGGTAGCCGACGTTTCTTAAATTCGGTGGTCATACGAGAACCGTTGTTTAAGCCAAAAGAAAAAAAAAATTCTAGTGCATCATAAATACGCCGGTCAAAGAATACATCTGTTGAATGTGAGAGAAATACATTTTTTTTATAAGGACACAAAAGGGAAAATTCGAAATATATAAGTATTTAACAAGGAGTCCATGTCGCAAGCGGATGTGAAACAAGCTCGATATTTAAATGAGTTTAATGATCATACCGTAGAAAAATCCCCAAACACCTTCAAACTTTTTGTCGACGCCTCAGGCGTTGGGCAATAAACCCAGTCCTTTCCTGGGGGAGAGGTACTGCCTCGAGGGAAGGCTCTTCTGCCGCTTGGATTTAATATACTTAAAGAACATTACCCCAGCTAAAGGTCAGATTCTATGTACAGTTAGAAATATATAGATATATACCAGCGCACCTATGTCACAACTAGGTCTGAAAAAAAGATGTGCTTTAAAGTGGGTTTAAAGGCCGTGCCGTTAAAGTTTTCCAAGCCACATCGATATTTCCCCTTTTACGGACACCTCAGGTGCCGCCACCGACCGAAAGAGATGTTCTGCCTGGGGCATGGCCTACTAGGAGTTAGACCTTAAATATTTAAAGAATATGGACCCCAGGCAAAGTTCATGATTTCATAAACAATTCGAAATGTAAACAGATAAAAATAAATATTCTATAATGTCAAAAATCAACTGCATTTATATATTTACGGGTTTCGCAATATCATTTAACTTATTTGAAATAAATAGGAGAGATTCGCTTATTCTATTGACAGGAAGCATTATTCAATACCAATAAACGAACAAGAGAATATCCTTCTTCTTAGCAAAATATTAGCCTCAATAATAAATGAGGAATCTCAGGCTGATAGTCTTAGTCATTTTAGTATTTCATGTTAGTTTTCTTTAGTGTTAATCACATTTAATTTCTTTAAAAGAAGATTACTTCTTACAATGCCGTACCTCGTAAACAGGATCCACTAATCTTCAATTTATTTCTTAGCCACATGTTAATAAGATAATTCCACTAAGCCAGTATAGCCCCAGATCCTAACAGCTTCTTTGTTATCTGTGCTGCATATCTTCATAATATGCATTTCTTTTTCCTCTATCCATTACTCCTCTACCTTGAGTTGCTCTTGAGCGGTATATGAGTGATCAACAGTAAAAAATAATAAATAAATAATACGGTTGTTATGAATTACTATATCTTTCATATACACTAGACTTAGATCGTTCAGGTTATTGTCTGTTTGGGACGCTCAAATATCATATCCGGATAGTGGTTCCACACACACGCATACGCACACACACACACACACACACACACACACACACACACACACACATATATATATATATATATATATATATATATATATATATATATATATATATATATGTATGTAATTTTATATATGTTATTCATATATTATATATGCGCTCAATGTCAGTGATAGAGCTAACATATTTAGTTGTATTGGTGCGAGTTTGTGACCCTGTGTTTCACGCTATTTGCGATCTTCAGACAATATATATATATATATATATATATATATATATATATATATATATATATATATATAGATAGATAGATAGATAGATAACTCTGTTGTTGAAAAGGTACAATGAAGAGTTGACCAGCTTGATGGCACGTTCCTTGATAGATAGATAGATAGATAGATAGATAGATAGATAGATAGATAGATAGATAGATAGATAGATAACTCTGTTGTTGAAAAGGTACAATGAAGAGTTGAGCACCTTGATGGCACGTTCCTTGATAGATAGATAGATAGATAGATAGATAGATAGATAGATAGATAGATAGATAGATAGGATGAAAAATGATGGACTAATAGCTATGGCGGACATGAGATAAGACCCTTATTGCGTTTATAAATGAGTTTTCAGTCGCAAAAGAAAGGTAAGAATCTTGAATGACTTATAATTCGATAAAATCGTTAGCAATAGAAGCAAATATCGTTAAGTGTAAAGACAGTTATTACTCGTATCAATTTATAACGCGTAACAAACAGCACATTGGCGCGTAGATATCCATCAAGCATCGACATCACGATTTGTTCTTCTAGTATTCATGTCTGACGACTTCATTAAATTTTCATCACAGTTTTACTTAATGGCTTTGTAATGTCTAAACACTCAACTAGATAAGACTTTTTAATGAATTTAGAGCGGCGTGAATGTCTGTTGATGTATGATTAGAAAAAGTGTTTCGGCAGACTACCTTTATCGATTTCCCCCATTGGGAGATTCCGTTCAAATATTTGTTTCATAGTATAGTATTCCCCAAAGTTATTTCTCCAAAAACTATTATTTTAAAATCTATTATTTATTTAATTTTATATTATTTAATTATTCTTAATCTTATGAGAATCGTACTTTATGTCCTGGTTATAACGATAAACTACATCCGGGAGTAATGCCTCTGATCGGGAGATTGTAGGAATTGTGGAGCGTCGAAACTCTTCTGAATTGTTGATGTTCCCAGATGCACCCTGACTCTGTTTGGTAGCATCTTTTAGGGCCCCAGCTATGTGCAAACAGAGCACCCCAAACAAAACATTATGAAACTATAAAAATATATTTCATAGTAAAGGATACGAGCAATGCATATTCATATTAAAAAAAAAATGAACATCAATATATATTTATGGCCAAATGAAACCCAATAGATTTTAAAGCAAAATAACCAGCAACATTTTCATCTGAAAGTATATAACTGCGTTAAAAATATGTTTAGTTGAAGCCATAAAACTGTGCTCTAATTATCTAGATATTAGCATTGAATAAACCGTAGAAGCGTTAAAATCAATCAAACAACCAACATTAACTAACACTTTCATAATATTAATCTATATAATATTCTATAATTTCTTAAAGAAATCAAATTGTATTCAAAAATATAACTTCAATAAACTACAACATCAAACTACAACATCAAACAGATATATCATCGCCTTTAGAAATTATGTTAACACAAATTATATATGCACAAAAGCTGTGCATAATTAGCTATACATTCAATTGCAAAAGCATAATAATATATATCATATATTTATTACTATATATCACCAATGAAAATTAAATTTTGTCATTAAATGAAACATGATATTTTATTAGGCCGTTAAACGAACAAACAATCAATAATATTTTTAACTTTCATTAAAACTTCGAGCTTGTTATAGGAAATAATTTTGAAATATTACAATTGAAATTTCAATGTTAAAAATATGTATAAAAATCTTGTAATTTCGGAGGTGATTTTTGTAGGCTTTATTTATTTCTAAAGTCAAAATATTTTTAAAATGCCGTGTCTCTAACACACAATAAGTATTTCTAATTTCAATGCACGTCGTCGTGGTCGGCATCCGTTTGTGTCGAGAGACGATGGAGTAGCGCGTTGCGCTACGAGCCTGGCAGGATATATGGAGAACTAAGGCTGCCCAGACTTCAAGTTCCCCCTCTCAGCCTTGCTAGCAGAGGATAAACCAACAGAGTTTGGTACCAGCGTGGCTGCAGGAGTTGCCGGAAGGTAGCACAAAGTGCCGTCCATCCGAGTTAAGGGTTCCACTCTGGGTTTGAATTCAGAGTTGTCCTTCTTCTAGAGCAGTTGCCATCCAAGGCTATAGAACCCAGTCTGTCTTGCTATTTACCCACAGATAGTGTGTGTGGGGGGGGAGGAGATGTTTCAAACCATTCCCAAGAGTATTAGTACGTAAGTGAATGTAATGGATTCGACTAGAATTCGAACTCGGTTCTCCGATTCCTCAATTCAAGCCGCTATCCATTACTCGATCGTGCCTCCAATTTCATTGCAAGTATGTCATGATTATTACTACATTTATTAGTTGTAGAATAGACGAAGAAAAATTTAATATTCAAACTGTTTCCACACAGGTAAGCACTAAAAATAAAGGAAAACATTATTTGTAAAAAGTAAATATTTGCTTGTGAGAAAATATGAGTGCCCTAGGTCAGAGATTCATATGGAGGGTTTAGTTTCCACTTAGTAATGCTAAATTTTTGATCGCATTGTTTACATTGAGTACAAGTACACATTCCTCAGCACAATGATTGAACTCAAAATTATTATGTCAATAAATTAACCAATCAACGCTTTAATCTAGAACTACTGCTGGAGATTTAACTGAAATGTTCCTCTTTCGAAATTTCCTGAAATGTACCCAGATGACGATCGGAGAGCACAGTTGTCGAAACAGTATATAAGAACAAAAATGAGGTCAAAAGTCCACATGTAAATAATATAAGTAAAATTAACAAATCGGAAATTATAATCGGCGTAGCGAATTCTATATTTTTGTATGTTTTTTTTTATAGCACGTAACGTTAGAATTATTGTAAGCACTTTTCCCAATATTTCAGATTCATCTCTACATTTGACACAACATAATCCATTACATAATTTTTTTTGGACAGTAAGGGCACCTCGAAGAGTATTTTAACTTTAGAAATGCAATCAAGTACCCAATATGGTACACCGACAATCAATTAAGTCATGAAATAATTTTTCAGTATTAACCACTCACTAACCTAAAAGGTGTTCGAATCTTTCTTCATTGCAAATAGGATAAGGTCAGTGATATAAATTCATTCCGAGATTTTAATATCAGCAATCTATGCATAGTATGAATACCCCACTTCTCTCCCTTTCTGTTTCTCTCTCGATCGTTCTGAAGGATTAGATGAAAATGATCACGAAAAGTTTGTAGTGACTCAGCTTATCAAAGATCTGAAGCGTCACTTATTGATCAATATTACTTCGATAACATGACGCTAATCTCTCAAGGCAGGAGAGAACAACATAAGTTCAACAATATTGCATATTTGCAAACTGATTGCACAACGTACGACAAGCAAACGAAATATGTTCACTGACGACTGAAAGATTTATTGGCCTCTTCAACAAGAATAGAAAAGACCTATGAAGATATAAATTTAAATCTGACGAATGTATGTAAGAAATTTGGGTGGCTTTACTTATCAAACATTAGAAGAGTGTCTTAGCCGAAAATCAGCATTAGAAATACTTTTTATTACATAGACTCGAACACTGTATAAACAACAACACTTAGTGGGACAAAAAATAATCGGACCTTGTAAAAAATTACTGTTGAAAAAGAAAAAAAATGGATTATAAAATCCTCTTAAACAGGATTTTTCTATCAAGAGAAGGGTTTAAATATTTAAAAAGTATGACAAACAAAATTACCAATAAAAAAGAGGTAAACATTTCTAAAATTAGTCCTTACTTGTCATCACATACAAACAGATACTGTTAAAAAAGTCTAAATCTAAAATTCTGTGACTTCTTCTTGTGGAGATGAACACACCTCTCCAGAATATGGCTTAGATTCATCGAATTACATAAAGACTTACACCGAGAATCAAAGGTAGAAGAAGTATACAAGTATAGATATAGCGTATCTGCTTCCTACGTATTTTTGTAAGACTACATCAACTACAATCACTGTACTACTTCTTGATTGTATTATCTTCATTCACTTCAATGATGACATGACAGCGGTGACAAAATTTCGAATTCACACGAAATATAATTGTTTTATCCCAGTTAGCATAAATAGCTGATGAAATTCAAAATGAACAGGAAAAAAATTCGGATATTTTCATAGCGCGACACGGAAGTCAAAAAAACGTCAAGGCTCTATGATATGTCATTAGGAAAACAAAACCTTTTTCTTCCTGATTAAGGACTATTTATAATAACTCAATACACTATAGAAGACTTGAAGATAATTATTCAGCAATAGCTGGAATTCCTGAAGACATTATTACAACAAATACAACGGGGACGGATTGAATACCAAGAACAGATAAAAACAATCGTAGAAATGCAAGGAACAGACAATGTGTCAGTTTCATTTTTGCCAGATTCAGTCGCTAACTCAATTAGTGAATTTAATTGCCTACCAGAAAAGTTACATTCGTAACGTACATCAGAACGTCCGATATTATTATCAGAGAAGAATGTCAAGAAAATGTCGGATGAAATGAAGGATATGACTTCTGTTACGAAAATTTTGTCCCGTTGAACAGGAAAAATATATCATTTTTTTTATCGAATACTACAGAAGTATCATTTAAAGAAACAGTGTCGATATTATCGAACATCTTTGGTGAATGAAGTTCATTGTTTCATACACTTTGTCCGTTCATGGTCCTTACTAAGGAATTAAATGAAGATTTTTATCACATATGTCAGTAAAATCAACCGCGAGTCTGAGAATTTTAAATTGGATGAATTAACCCCAGACAGATTTAAATGTCTAATCTATGTTAAATGTCTGACATCAAGGAAAGATGTAGAAATACGTTTACAAAACTTGAACAGGATTCAAAGTTAACAATACTGACTGTTGGAAAAAATTGTCAATTTAAAATACTATACAACACAAACCGTGCCGACAGATATACATTTGGTTCGGAAAAAGGCACCAGTATCAATAGAAAATCCTGAATAAAAATACTGCAAAACTTAACCCACAGTATGGATGTGGTATGCTTCATCTCAGAAAGGACCGTGCATTTTAAACCAAAAAATATTTTAATTGTGTAAAAACAGGTCGCAAATGAAGCTACGGCATGTCCAAAAGCAAAGAAATACAGAAACTAATTTGGTGAAAGTAATGCTACCAGCTAAAATATTGGAAAGTTCAAATAATACATTTTTTTTTACGGTACAAATGGATAACGTTATTGTGAGTTTTCACTTGGGCACTGGTAGCGATATTACAATTATGGATGAACAAATTTAGAACAAAATTGGCAAATCTAACTCATGAAAAACTGACAAATTTGCAAGAGGAATATCG